CATCGAAGTTTAATATTCTCCACTAGGGTGAAATTTCGCACAAGATGCAAACAGGCTTGCTGCTTATATGAACTAGTCTTCATCGATTCCGTGAGCGTGACTGTACATTCTCCCTGCCGTTCATGTTGCGACATATAGTAGAATGATGTTCAGAATGCATCTTGACACGCGTATTCCCCCGACAAAAGCGCCAGTATTATCGCACGCTGCTAGACGCGCGTTTCCAGGTTTCCTGCGTAGCGTCCGTAGTACGCTCATGAAGTAACGTGAAAAGAGTGTAGGATGAGACGGCAGACAAATCGTAATCCTGATAATATAATTCGAATCGGCTTTCAAATGGTCATAGGCACATAGAGTAGAAGGTAGACGATAGCCACAAAGCTATATAAAAGAAGTGCGATGGTTAAAATTACTCTTACACATCCTGGGTTGAAAAGTATGGAAGAGCAGACCAAGCACTCAATATTCGAACGAGAGTCTATCCCCTGTCATACTGTTGACATCGTAGCTAGTTGATATTCTTCCGTGTACCATTTCACGATAACGTTGTGATCGTGGAGAGTAACTTCCAACGGAGATCGTACAAGTTCTTCTCTATGCACGGCCTGCTGAACTTTGCAGAAGTTTTCTGCGCAAATCTGTGCCTCCTGAGCTTTATCTGATTGAATCAATACTCCACTTTTCAAGCAGCTCAGTCTGATTTCGTTGTTTTTTGAAAGCGTAATGAGAGCAAGCAGCATGGGGTGGAAAAGAAACCATTTCGGTTTACGAGAAATTCGCCTTTCCTTTGAAATTGTGACATGACGTGCTTGGCGCATTGGCTGTCGTTGGCGCAAGTTGTACCGAGGTTCCTGTTGTTGTGGCGCTACATCATTATCTTTGACGAGATGTTCTTTTTCCTCTGAAGGTTCCGAAGTTCTCGTGCTCTCCTGTATTTCAAGAGGGTTCGGAAGGCTCACAGGCCTTCGTATTTTCCTTCTCGTTGCTGTGAAAAGCTCGACTTCACGAATTTCACCGCCTGCACTGCGTTTTTTTCACGCTATTTTCCAGTCATCGCGTGAAAGGATCGGGTCATTCTCTAGTACCACTCCTCCCTTAGGAGGAATTCGGCATCCTAGTCTGCGATTCGAAGTAAGCCGCTCATGTTTTGCACAGAGATGTCAGATACTGCGCTTGCCATTCCTTCCTAAACGTAATAGCCCCGTTCTCTGGCACGAAGTGTGTAGTGCTTCTACCTTTTGTTGGCGGTATTGCATTGCGCGTACCTCTTTCTGAGGAGGATAATCCGGGTCGTCTTTGTTTACGTCTTCAGGAATCGTGAGAGTTAATAACATATCCTTCTCTAAAGAGTCGATAGTACGGATGAAACTCACTTCCTCCTGCGTCGGTGCCTGATACGTTAGCGCCCTTGAATTCAGGCTAGCTTCCACTTCCGCGATAAAGGTCTGGATATCGTCGAACGAGCGCTGTTCCGCAGCACGCAAACTTTATAGATCGACTGCTTTATCTACTCAATCAGGCGCTCATAAAATCCCCCTTGCCATGGTGCGTAGGGTTTGATCCCACAAGACTCAGCGGTTGGTCACCGAATGAAGGATTTTGGCGTCAAGATGATCTCATTGATTTCCCAAGACATTAGCACTGAGCAGAAAGGTGTAATAGATTCAGGAAGACCTCTGCTTGCAAAAAATCTTCGAAGCGCGTTGAAAAAATCATTTGTGGACATACTTCTTACTACTTCTAGGTGAAGTAGCCTGGTCACAGTGCATGTGAAAATGCAACCATATGATTTGTACTTCTCTCCTTCTTCCGTGCATGATGGGAGATCGAAAAAATCCAATCCTGTGGGCTGGAATAACCGACATCTTAGAACGCGGCGATCAGGCAGATCTGGAGTATCGGGATAAGAGTACGGTAGCGCATTGAACCGTCGACATTGAACACAATGTTTAATCGCTTACATGTTGGCTTAGTTTCGTAATCCAGAAACACCCCGTACTGTAGCGATCGTATGCTCTATACCTTTATGATAGAGGCCATGCGCGTTCTGCACGATGTTTTTCGCTAACGTAGTACTAGGCGCAATAAATGCCGGGTTCTTACCAGGGAGGGGCAGTCTGTTTACCGTGGGACTTTGAATGGAGACCCAGATAAATCGATAGAGTTTTGAATGCTGTTTACGAAAATGGAAATTATAACTGCAAAATGGTTCTCCTCAAAAAGTTGCGGGGGCTCGAAATTTGCTTGACAGTAGTACAATTGGATATGCTAACTCGTCGCTACGTTATCAGGCGCCAACGTGGCCTAGTAGTAATGGTCTCGCTTCATAGGCGTAGGGTGCGGGTTTGCTCCCCGCCCTTGTCGACGTGTTTTTTCCTTTTTTTTAAAGCTCTCTAAACCTTTTCTGACATTTGTTTAAGTGAACGCCCTATTTCTGCTTATATTTTCTCTCGTCGAACTCATCCGAGGAAGTATGGTTCTGAACCTTAATTGTGTGACTCTATTTCATTTTCGACTTGGAGAAACATTTAACAGCAAGGTGCTCGGTATGTATAAGGTGCTTGTGAGAAACTCAGCATTAATAGGAAAAGCTGACAAAAGTATGCTGCACACATGTTGTTCACCAACTGCCACATTATGCATGATACTCCTCTACGACCGGAGACAAAACCGTCATTTGTCTCAAGATTTGACAAATACCCGCCGAGTGTGATACGTCAGTCTAGGTTTTCAACAACATGCCCTACACCAAGAGCGTTTCCGCTCGACCACTAGATTTGGAGCTTTGAAAATTTTCCAAGTCTGATAAAACTCTGAAATGTTAAAAACCAGACTCACGTGTCACACTTGGCGGGTCTTTGTTAAATCTTGAGACATATGGCTGTTTCTTCTCCGGTTGTAGGAGAGGATCATGTATAGTGCAGTTAGTGAACAACATGTGTGCGTGCTGCATAAATTCTTTTCAGCTTTTCCTATTAATGCTGAGTTCTTCACAAGCATCTTGTACACCTCTGGCACCTTCTGTTAAATGTTTTTCCAAGTCGAAAATGAAATAGAGTCACACAATTATGGTGCAGAACGATACTTCCTCGGATGGGGGCGACGAGAGAAAACAAAAGCAGAAATAGGGTGTTCACTTAAACAAATGTCAGAAAAGGTTCAGAGAGATTTGAAGAAATGAAAAAACACTCTGCAAAAATGTCGACAATGGGGGGGGGGGGGAGCAAATCCGCACCCTACGCCTTAGAAGCGAGACCATTACCACTGGACCACGTTGGCGCTTGATAACGTAGCGACGAGTTCGCATATTCAATTGTACTACTGTCAAGCAAATTTCGAGCCCCATAACTATTCAAGGAAAACCATTTAGCAGTTTTAATTAGCATTTTCGTGAACAACATTCAAAACCCTATCGATTTATCTGGGTCTCCATTCAAAGTCCCACGGTAAGTAGACTATCCCTCCTTGGTTAGTGTCATAGTTAAGCGCTGATTGACCCTACCTCCCTTTTGAGCGCCATGCTTTATTTCCGTCGTGATAGAGTCGCAGAGTTTTCTCCATAGATTTCCGATGTTTTTCAGTCGCATAAATGAGTTGATGGCTGCGAATCAATGCTACTTTCGCTGCGCGTACTTTGCGACCTTCCAGAGAACCTATGGAGTCCTGCACTTGTTTTGACACAGAAATGTGCCCAAAAATTCGTGTTAGGAAAGCCTCGATCTTGTTGCGCAGAAGCTTTTTTATGTGGCGAGGGGCTAGTGCTGTGATTCGCTTCGCAGTGGAAAAGGCGCTGTAGCGGTTCCAATCTAGAAGATCATTAGTTTCTTTCGCAGACTGTATTGATATTTGCAGCGTCCTCCTCAAACGTTTGCGCTAGTTCCTATCTTGAAGAAACGAGTCGTCCACTGCTGCACAGGTGTGCGCAAGAACTGTGGACCGTTCCACAAGTTGTGATTGATGATTTGTTCGTTGGTGAATCCACCACGTGTCGCGGCATCCGCTTGGTTTTCGGACGTGTTGACATATCCGAAGACATCGAATACTGCTTCATCTTCTAGTTGGTGAGCGATGCTATGTATTTCGCACAACCTGATTCTTGCTAGAACTCCTAAATTGGTTTGAAGAACTGGAGAAAGCCAAATGAGTGCTATCTGGGAATACGAAAAAATGTATATAGTGGTGGGGTGTCCGAGATTTCTTAAATTTAGCGCTTGCGCAACCAAAAAGGCAATGTGCGTCGCTAAAGTCAGTGCATTCATTTCCAATTTGGTACGCTGATCTTCGTCTTGATGGATGGTAACTTACATTTGCTCATCACTAGCGAAGAACGGCAGTAGGAACCTCGCTTGCGTCGGCTTGCTCTGCAGAATCTGCGCAGTAACGCCTTGGAATGGACTTTTGAAATCCATTAATATTTTCGATAACTTCTGTCCATTGGTTAGCTTTATCCTGGGGCAACTTTGTGTCCCATTCAAACTTCTGCTTCCAGAGATCCTGTTGAAACTTTTCCGTAGGCACAAGCAAAGGGTTCAGAAACCCTAGTGGAACGCAGATTGACGCTATTGGACGTACAACTGTGCGCTTAGCAATAGGATCGGTTGGACATAAGGGGCATTTGGCATCCAAGCAAGCCGTTTTCGCATTTCAAGGGATCCCCAGCCCTTTTGCACCGATTCTTTCGCCCATGCAGTTCCTGGTAGTTGTTGGCGTAGAGTTTCGTCATTGGATAGGAACTGTCCCAAGTTCATGTCCTCGAAAATCCCGCGTGCTTTTAAAGCCTCTTCGGAGGTCTCTGCGGGTGTTGCGGCGGAGAGGGTAGGCCCTCATTTCCTACAGCGCTTCGAGAGTGGTGAATAGTTGCGCCTTGTAAATACGGAGACACATTCAGCCTAAGGTCACCCGCGTAAATCAAAACGTGACAGTATTTTGTTTATTTAATGGCTCATGCACATCGCGTACCCAAAGGAAACGAGTGGCATCCCTGTCTGTTTCATGTAATCACACTTGCAAAAAGGCTTTCTTCACATCGGAGATGATCGCGAACTTAGGGATCCTAAAGCGCAACAGCACAGCATATAATTTTGAGAGGATAAGTGGTCCTTGGTGCAGCACATCATTTAGCGAAGAACTATCTTTGAAATGTGCCGATGCATCAAACACAATTCGCAGTTTGGTAGTTTCCTTATGTGGTGTTATAACTGGCTGGTGTGGAATGTAATGAACAAGGGCACCATCAGTTAGAGAAAGTCTTCAATTTCTTTGATCACACCATTTTCTTGCTGTGCGCGGAATGTTCCATCGTAGTCATTTAGCGATTGCGGGGTCTTACGCAGCGCTTCTGGGGCTGTTCTCAGTCTTTTGAGCGCAATTGCCTGATTTGGTGCTAACGGTGGATGTTTTTACTTATAAGAGAAGCGGATGTAGTAACTATCCTCACGCTTCTCATTTGCCTCCTCGAAGAATAACGCATCTTTCGCGTAAGTCGCGTCCTTTTCTGCATTTTTGTCCCAGTGACTTAGCACACTCCAGCGGAATCCATAGCCAAATACTCGTCCTATTTTTCCAACTCCTCCACAAAATTAGTGAAAGAGTTGATGAAGGCATCTGGCTCATTACCATTATGGTGAGCGAGATCTCCTTCCAGTGACGTTTCCATTTGTTGCCTTGTGGGCAAATATCCAAGTTTGGATTGGACAAGTTGTAGTCCGGATGGTACAGTGTAGGGAAAACTAGGAACATCAAGAAAGTTCCATAACTGATCGCATCCTAGTAGAATTTGAGGTTTTGGAGATTGCTCACATCCTTTTTAGACAAGGCAATTTTGTGCCGTGCAATGTATTTCAGATCTGCGTTGCTTAGATGCGCGTTCTTCCTTTAGCAGGCAACACAGGCGTAGTGTGGAGGCTACATGTTTGTCACCAACCTGGTCCCACAGGTCCAACATACTTACTCCCCATGTGGTTTGCCTGGGCGTTCCCGAACCGAAGGTTTACATATTGAAGTTCTTCCGCGCTTCACATCTAGTCCCAGATCTCCAGCAAGCCTTCCAGTGATGAAGGATTGGTCAGCGCCCTGTTTAGTAGTATCTCCACTTTTTCCCAAAGATCCTTAGTTGGATCTCTCACCCGAGCTGCTCCCGTTAACGGGAAGCACATTATTTCCCTTATTTGGAGTATTTACATTCCCCTTTCCAGGAATGTCATCGTTCTTCATGGCGGAGAGAACCATTCCTCGGCTGTTATTTTCTTCGCAAATCTCCTCTTCTTTGTCTTCGCAAGAAGCCCTCTTAAGCAAATGTGTCTCTGAGGGCTTTGCTCTATTCTGTAGTGCTCGTCTTGGCGGTTTCGGGCGCTTTTTCGAGCAGTAAGATTAGCTGATGGTGCTTGCGCATGTGCCCTTCTCTCATATGGCTGCTGACCCTGACTGTCAGCGTGTGGTGACGCTTCCTCCCACTACACGCTTTGCATCCATCCCTTGGAAACTGTTTAAGGAAATCTCTTGGTATAGCACAGATTAGGCACAAATCCTGTTCCCAAAAACTGCGCTTTTTTTCCAGTGTGATGCATTTGCAATACATGGATTTGTGATCTCGACTTGCGCAGAAAGTTCACTGCCCAACTCCTATAGGCAATAGTATAGGTCGCCTACTTTCGCGAAAAAATGATGGATTCCTATCAGGTTTGGCATAGACCACATCGTTTATTTTCTCCTCCATCGATATGATTCCGTCGAGGTCCAGGCATTCTCTATTACCTAAGCGTTTTCACCTAAGGCTGGGTTCACTCGTCGTTGAAGCACTTTCCTCGAAAGATCGACAGAGTATTTTGAAAGTACTTTTTGCACAAGAAATTATCCGTCCATGGGTACGCCCAATGGGTACGCCTTTCTCTTTTAGCTGTGTTACTATTGGAATAAGAAGTTCCAATAGCCGACGTTGTGATGAGATCGATGGTTCTTCAGCCTTTGCGCTTTCTAAAGGAAACTGTAGACAAGCGATGAATTTAGTGTCATCGCCGTACTTACTGCGCAAGAGTTCAATAGCGTAGTCATAGTTGTCCTCAGTTTTGTGACGTAATCGTCTACTTGCTCCTGATGCTCTTCTGCCACTGCATCCCCCAGTGAGTCACACATGCCGATAAATGCGTTCAATTTCTCAAAAAGCAATGTTATTGAATAATTGAGCTGAAGAGCTACTGATTGCGCTCTCGCTGGATTCTCATTTTCGCAGCTCCGCATTTATATGCGGCTCCGCATTTATGACCGTTTCATTGTCCTTTACAATACGCTCCAAGTTATTACAATATCTCGTTAAGAGTGCCTTGTGAGAATTCGAGGATGTAGGGCCAGCCATGTCTAAAAAAGTTGCAAGAAAGAGGAAACGAGAGAAGAAAAAATATAGAGGAGTTTGGGGAAAACCACTCAAACAGATTCTTCGGGCGCGAGTGATCTAATCCAAGGAGAAATTCCACTGCGCTCCGCCTCGCTTCGCCGACGAAATCAAAAAGTGTAGAGGACTGTACCTCTGTGCTCCTCAGGTTCGATGTTGAATGGCCGATGCACCATAAAGCGATTCCAGTGGTTCGAGTTTAAGCCACAGTGCAACCACGACACACGGCGCAAGACAACTTTATTTTACCTCATACTTGGGTATTTAAAACAACACAATCTGAAGGAAGAGTTGCAATAACATGAGTCAATCAACGATAAGGGAGATCCCAATAATAACCCAGGCAAATGGCACAAGGCACTTTAAAAGAAAGGCCCCTTATAGGAGAAGTATGGTAAATGATATGTGTGATACAAAAAAATTACGTGAGATTAAGAGGTTGAAGGAGAAATCGCAAATACATAGAAGCACAAGCATCCAAGGGGAAGAATTGACGTTTCAGCGCATGCCAGCGTCCTTATACGGTCGTTGGCATTTGCCTCACAAGATCAAGTTGATAAGAGCAGAATACAGAAACATTCCCGGCAAAACAAATCTGTAATCAGATTTGAACGCTGGATCGATTGCAAGAATCGCGGTCTAACCGCGATAATACATGTGAATTTATGCGCTTCTGTCTCCTGTACTGATTACAGCTCAATGTGCTTCGGCTACTCATCGACGGCCGCACGTAGAGTTTCTTGAGAAACTTCGGCCTATGCTTTTTTCAATAATTCCTTTGAAGTAGCTGGGCGAAAAGAGTGGTTCGGTGAGAAGAAGCTAAAGAAGTGAAAAACTATTGGTGATGTTTCTAATGCTGCTTCTATCTAACTGGTTGGTTGTCTTACTTTTCAGAAATTGGAAGCACATTGTGTAATTCTATGACAGTGCGGACTTTTCGTTGTTCAACCGAGCTGTGGTCAGGGTGGGAACTGGTGAAGCATATGACGAGTAATCAAAAGGAAGTAGAAACGGAATTGCTCTGATTGTTTGCATAAACCAGATGCTCAATGAAGTATTTGCATGATCAGAGCATTAACGAGTGTTGCCAAAGTCTAGCCAAGTGACTTGTACGGGAGCAGGCCGATTATAAATCGCAAATGGGTTATCAACAAATGAATGAACATTTGTGTCAAGATGGTGCTCTCAGTAAAATTATTACTCCTTGTGCAGACTTATGTATGCAGTTACCTTACGCTGAAGCTTTAGTCGCTGTTGAAGTCACGCATAACATCGTGTTTCCAGGTAAGTGTCCATACTTATGAGGGGAACTGCTGTAGGTTAATCTCTGCCGACTTTTCCTGAACGATTGATGGCATACCGATGATGCCATTGAACAAGAGTAGTAGGCACCGGTGATTCACAGACTCTCGGCTCGTAGTGATCCGTGAACAGTCGGTTTTCAACAGATCTCTTCAAAATTTTCTGAAGTGAGATCAGTGATTTCAATTGGATACGCAGACATTGATAGCAGTGTAAAGCGCTCATGAAGTGTGATCGCTCAATGATTACACCGATCTTCCGTATCCTATGGACAATAGAAATGAAGGTAAATCAGTTCTCATTGGCCAAGCTGAGACTGCTTTCTTTCCGTTTGCGGAAGTGCAGGAACTGATAGGAATGTTATAAAATAGACGTCTTTATACGACTGAATTCTTCGATTTATAACGGGTCGAATTACGATTTATATGTTTGATTTTCCTCGATTAGTTTGAAAAATGAATGGGGTTATCAGTCAGCTCAGTAGGGAGGCGCTCTGCTTGAAACCGTCCAAGTGAAAAAAAATCCCCATTTCCTCGGGTGGAGTGATATTCTCTTAGTGACGTGCATGTTTGACAAGTCAACCTCAACTGAGGTGAGCAGCAGGGAAAGAAGAAGTAGCTGCATAGCCCTACAGTGAGAGTTACTGTTGGGATTATACTATAATTATGTAGTAGGTCGTCATGAAGGATTGTGATAGTCGGCAAATCGACCACTCCTTATTTGGAATAGATGATATTTTGCGGAACAAGAAATTCGACAAAGGGTCATTATGGCATGCAAGATGTATTCAAAATGAGCTGATGCTTACAACTATGATTAGAAGTTCCAATCTGTTGCTGGCAAAGAGAAGAGAAGAAGAGGCACAGCCATTTTTCATTGAATCGTAAACTTTGCTGGGTAGCCTTAGTGCAAACCCCTCCCGTCGAGGGCGCAGTCTGGCCCCGCCACCAACATGGGTGTTCCCTTCCTGCCGTCTGCAACGCTACCGAGCTGGAACGCTCTAGGGCCGAATTGACAGTTTCCGCGAAAACCCGCCCCTTGTGGGAGGGGTCCGGTCCTACCACCCATGATGAGCGCTACCATCCTTCTCGGGTGCTCCTACCGAATTTAAACGCTCTAGGCCCACAGAGACAGCAGTTGTGATTTTCCGCTCAAACCCCATCCACTGTGGGCGGGATCCAGTTCTGCCACCCTCCATAAGTGTTCTCATCCTGCCCCCTGTGCTCCTTCCGAATTCGAACGCTCTATTGCAAAATGGACAATTTCCGCGCTAATCCCGCCTCCTCAAGATGGAGTCGGTCCTTCCACTCACTATATGCGTCCCCATCCTGTTTCCTGCGATCCTAGCAGATTTGAACTGTCTAGGTCCACAGGGACAGGAGTGATGAACTTCTGAAAGGGCACACACACTTGCACACATACAAACACACAGACATTAGCGCATTATACAGGGTGTCCCAAAATTATGGGCAGCAAAATTCAGAAGTTTCTAGGGTAGGGATATTTTATCAAATTCACATTACCTGATATTAACAGTTGCATAAGAAGGTTTGCTTGCAATATGCATGCATGGTTACTGATATGGAACTCCCAGACCCTTGTAGATGGAGGAGGCTCATTCAATGCCACTTGCAATCATTGACACGCGAAAGACGGAAGGGCAGTATGAAATTCTTTGGGATTTGTATAATAACCGTATAGGAGGCTATTAAACGATATATAAAAGAAAATTGAACCGAAGACAAACCAGGAAGAGGTAGAAAAGCCAATGTTTCTAAGGACAGGTCTTGGTCGGTCTGCCAGTCGGTTGGGATACAGGGTGATCCATAAGAAGGAATACAACGGCACGGCTTATCTGAGTTATCGCGATGGAAGAATGTCATGCAAAGACTTTATTGCCGTTCATGGTATGCAGAAATTTCGCTTCAATTCCGGTCTCAACAGACACTGCAGGGTCGAAAAATGCAGAAAATCGCAGGCCCACTTAAGTGAAGTCACTGGCAAGAGTAAAATACTCGTGGTTTCTTCGGTGCCGACGTGAAAATTGACTATGACCAGTACTCAAAGAGCGTACTGATGAACGTAATACAGCACTGATCCGACTACGTTTTGTGAAACATCTCGTGGTCCCTCCAGCAGGACGCTACTCTAGCACACAAAGCCAAGCTTGCCAGCGAGTTCCGACGAAAGCTGCCCGACCTTATCGGCATGAAGTTTGGTCATCCTATTTTTCAGATTTTGATTCACTTGAGCCTCCCGTATAGTTCCTCATTAGAAGAGGACCTGTTGAATTCGCAGTCCCAGTTTGGAGTCCTAGAAAGTAAGACTGAAAAACGGCTCAGCCAGAAATGCAGAAGGATAGCTGCGTGCAACATGCGATCACTTCAGGAACAAACTTTGGGCCTCCATCCGCGCTAATGGGGGGTATTTTAAAGTGTGATTGTAGCGTGTTGTGGAAAATGGTGTTAGTTAACGTGGGGAGAAGGAACGGGAACGGTTAGGAACGGTTTCCTGTAATCAATTCGCCGCACGCGGCTGTCGCGAACCATTCCTTCGCCGTTATTACAGTTCCAGCGTTCTTCATACAGCTCGAACGCTATACGATCCTTATTTTTGGCATGATTCCACTATTAGTTCCTTTGTTCCTGTATTTCTCACCTGCTGCTGCATTCTGCTATATTCCTTCGCGCGCGGCGTCCTTCTTCCCGCAACGCGACAGTTTTGTTCCTACTGCACCACACTCGCTAACGTGCATAGAAATTGCATCCTCTTTTGCAGCTGAGAAGCTTGAAATATATTGCTATGAATTGGCGCCCATAATTTTGGGACACCCTGTATATAGTAGGATTGGGCGGAGGTGGTGTAATGGCAAGAGGCGCCATCCACACAAGCATGGCCACGGATCCAAATCGCGGATAGATATACGCTCAGGCCAACCATCCACTCCATCCCCCGGGGTCGGTTAGCTGGTTCTAGATTCGTCAGGAAGAATAGAAAGGCTGATTTGCACATCGGCTGGCCACCACAAGTCATTGTATAGGCCACATATGCATTTAATACACCATTGCGATTCTGAATGAAAGTCGAATGCGTGAGTGCACCCCTCAGACGGGATTGATTAACGCCCCGAAGCTCAATCCTTCATCTATATCAAATTACATTCTAGTGTACTGGATGATAATGTGAGTCTTCCTACGTTGATAACAGTAGCGAAGTGCGTCAAGTGAAAGAAGTGAATTTTGACCTTTGAAAAAGAAAGATATTGTATATGCTACATGTGATTCTAGTGAATTTTATTTGAACATTTGCAGAGTCTGTTCTAAGTTTTTCACTTATTCTTCGCAATGGTGCCGTCGATGTGTACTTGGCACTTAACAAGAATCCTCTGACTTTTGGGTTTTCAAGTTCAGTTCAGTATGTGAAGCTCGCATATCGCAGTGAAATACTGATAAGTTTTATGTAGCGTTATTCACTTATTTTTCCTTATTTACTTGGCTTCCATAGAACGATTGTGCATGTGTTCTTGTCAGTAGTTTGGTTTATGAGTGAGTTTTATTCGAATGGTTGCACTTACTAAATAGTTTTTCCATTTGACTTGTTCTTCACAATTGTTCCTTGATATGTTCTTGTTTGATTTCAATACCAGAGAGTGAGTGATGGGAGCGTGTGTGGAGATCGACGAGCAATTGCCCATCAAAACTGCTCAGTATAGATTGATTTGAAAAGGAAGAATAGTGGATGTGAAACTTTGTATAAAACTCACCGCAGGTGGGATTTCACGGGACAAGGGATGCACGCATACAGAATTGAAGTTCAGAGAATTGTAAACTGTTGGAACAGGTCAGAGTTTCTTGAAAACTACAAAAAAACAAAGCATCCACCACATCGTAATGAACTCTCCACGCTTGCATATCCAGGAGAATTACTTGTAATCCACAAGACAGTTTTCAAAGCATCATGAATGTAGTATACGGTAGCCCGGAAGCGCACCCAAGCACCTCGAAATACCCTTCACATGTACAACGCAACGAAACGTTACCCTAGGTGAGGCGTGTTGGGTGGTGAGACATTAGGGGGGGGGGGGGGAGAGGAATTTACTATAGCACACGTTCAGGTGACGTTAAAATCTGACTTATGCAAATTTTGGGTTTAGAATGAACGCACTTCTTCAAACAGAGCCCGAGAGAGTTCTTGACAACAAACAGGTACACTTCAACGACAATGTATAAAATATGTTTCACTTGTATTACCTGTCATCCCGTCAATCATCGATTTTCTCGGAGGGGGCCAGTAACGTCTCTATTCGTCCCTGTCGCGGGCCGGAGTGGACCTGTGAATCGTACTCGCCTAAGGGATACGGGACAAAACATTCCTTTCTTTCAAAGCTTTCATGAAGAAGTCTGACCATCGAGCTAGCCGCACTCCTAGTGTTCGTTTGACGTTGCGAGGAATCCAGTCCATAACCGCCCTGGTCCAACGGTCATCACTATATTGCATGAAGTGCCCGACCAATCTGATTTACGACTTCTTGGCGTATTCGACGGCATTCCTGATCTTCGTTCATCAACGGAGCTCGGAACTCCGGGTTTCCTTCTGCACTTGTGTATAGGGAAATTCCGCAATGCGTTGAATAACGCCAACTGCATGCTCATCCTGCTTCCGTAGAGTTCGATTCCCTGAGGCGTACGTCAAAGCAGGAAGTACAGCAAAGCGAAAAGGTGAGCGCGGAGCCGGATGTTCTTTGACTTCTTCACTACTCCCTCAATATTCTTAAATGCTCCCCACGCGGCGCGTTCCCTTCTGCACAGCTCTGGAGCTAAGTCGTCCATCATGTTGACTTCCCGACCTAGATACACAGAGCTAGAGCATTCGGAGATACTCGTTCCCTTTAACGCGAAAGGAGCATCAGTACAAATTCGTTTTTCATAAACATCGTCTTCATTAAGCTCAATCTCAAGCCGATCTCTCCACAGGCACTATCAAACTCGGCCAGCATTCGTTCCGCCTGCTCGATGTTCGGTGTTACAAGCACGATGTCATCTGTAAAGCGGAGATGATGAAAGTAGCGGCCGTCGACCTTCACTCCAATGCTTTCCCATTCCAAAGGACGCATGATGTTCTCAAGAGCGGCACTGGGTGAGATGGTATAGTCCTGTCGACCCCCTCTCTCTCTGCTGATGATGACCTCTTTATAGAATGATGAAATCCTGGTCGGGAAATAGTAGTTTAGCTCACGAAGCATTCTTATGTATGTACTGAGTAGGTATACCTTGGTTGCTCACGGCTTCATTTACCGCTTCTGTCTCAACGCTATCAAAGGCTTCCTTCGAATCGATGAAAGTAAGACATAACAGCATTTTGTACTCTCGCGACACTTCAATGAGTCTTGCAGGATTGTGGACATGATCGATTGTACTGAACCTCTCCAAAAGCTCGCTTGCTCGCACGGCTGTCCTTCATCTAATATTCTGCCAATACTGTTCAGGGTGCCGCCTGAGGAGCTTACCCAGAGTTCTGAGAATGAGGGGTGGAAGACTCTTGAGTTGTTCTGGTTTTATCCTGTCAGGACCGGGCGCCGTACAGTTCTTCATCGACGTGATGGCACGTCGAATTTCGGAATTCCGGAAGGGGGAACTTTTCTCTCTTGCCCAAGATGGTAGGTAGGCAGGTAGTCGTTGAGAGATCACAGTAGAATTCGTAGATGACCTTCTCCATTGTCCTTCGGGACGGAGGAACACTTCCGTCAGGACGACAAAGGACTCATCTTAGTCTTATTATTGACAAAGCTCCGGGCGCTTGGCTAAAGCTCTCCCTGGCCTCGGCGGGTTCACTAAAAACTGCTGCTCTCCTCTCTTTCAGATATTCCTCTATCGCTTCTCTGCATAGCTTAGCAAGTTTGGATCTTAGCTGGTTGTTGCCTGCAGCTCGCGCGACTCCACGCTGGCGTATCAGCTCATGAGTTTCCAAAGAGAGACTTCTCTTGACACCTTCGAAACTCTTTGCTCTCCTAATCGTGAAGATTTTCGACGAGCCGGTCGTACTCTTCATCGATGTTGTCGCTGACGGAATCTCCCCACAAACTCGCTAATGAAGCGAAGTGATCCCAATTGACAACAGTCTTAGGCCTATGTTTCCTGAAATTCGCAGCTCTCGCCCCACGCACTGAGAAGCGGGGTCTAGCACGAAGGAGTTCAAACTTTTTTTCAGAAACCGCTGCAGGTGGCTGAGCAGTCAGTAGTCGGAGGGCGAGGTCAGGGCCGTGGTGGGGCTGGGCGGCCTGGGTCGCCTTTGCACTGTGAGGTCGGGCGTTCTCATGGTGAAAGTAGGTTTCTGCATTCAATGCACGAGTACGGCCTACGCGATCTTTCAATTTCCGCACTGGGTGACGTATGTGAAAGCGTCAATTATCTGCCCGTTCTCCGACAGCTCCCAGTGCTCAATGCCTCTTCTAGACCATCAACAGGACAAGAGAACCTTCTCGGGGTGAAGGTCGACCTTTTGGGAAGGCTTCTGGCTATTTTCTTTGTCGACCCACTGCCGCTTCCTCACAGGGTGATGTAGAAAACCCACTTCTCATCTCCGGCGATCATCGAATTGTGAAAGTGGTGCTTTTTTTAGAAAGTGAGGACAGAAGTGCAGGTGGCCACCCTCCTCGAGAGGTCATAAGCGGACAGTTCATATGGGACCCATCGATCAAGCTTTGCTACCTTGCCGAGCTCATCCAGTCCACGTACAATCATCGATTGATTATAGCCGTGAATGGACGCCATTTTCTGGTTGTAGGTAAGGGTTCTCCTCCATAGTGAAACGTGATACTTCCGAATCCAACTCCATCGGCCATCCGACCGTGAAGCATCTTTAAGGGAAAGTCTCTTTTCTCAAATTCGGCAAATCAAGTCTCCCATGTGCGGTAAGACATGACGTCCTCGCCGTGTGTTTCCACTGGCCTGGTTCCACTTTGCATTCCAACCGAAATCGTGAAGCAAAACCAAGCTGTGGCGCATTCTGTCACAGTAGTAATTGTGCGGCATTGTAGCCCGCACATGCAGGGTGGGCGAGTGGTAGCTAGCGTGGAGAAAGGGTATCATGCAATTGTCACGCACACGTGATGACGAAATACGGAAGGATCAGACATGGGAATAAACTCATGCATCAACCTGATAGAATATGACGTTGATCGTTCACATATTCTTTTCAAAGTGAATCCAGTTTTGTGGATTGTTGTGGTCACGATAATTAGTAGACATTTGTATCCCTTTATCTAGCATAGAGGAATGGTTGAAACGCTGAAAACAATGACTTTTCAGAACTGGATATCTAACTCATTTGTTGTGGACTTCACTGAATAAGGTCTTAAGAATATAGACAAAAGCTTTGGACGAAGTGTTGATTAATCCTTTTTGATGGGGGCTGCTTTTGATTTTGCAGTGGAAAACTTTGTCTCTTTGACATCTTCGCAAGATGTTGTTGTGAAGTAGATACTGCAAGCGTACGTCCTGCAGCTGTCCATTGCTTCGTACAAATACTGACATTGACTGTCTTGTCGTTTCATTCTTTTCCGCAAATTGCTTGGCCGCTTTGCTTCAATTACCTCGCATTTGACGTGATGGATTTCCAAGTGTTATAACCGTTTCTAGACAACACGTTGTGCCATCCGTGCTTCTGTTTTTGAAGGTGTTGAAAGAGTAATTGGCAGGAACCAACAGCGGTGATAGTTCTTGCGAAGATCTCGTTTGTTTGTTACCCAGAGCACTGGGGGGCTATATAGCCTCCTATGGCATTCCATTTCATGTCAAGGCTTTCCATTTCGTCGATCCTATTCGACAATGTTCCTGTTGATAGCTGCAAAATTAGATAGGTAATCGCGCACGACCATTTCAAAGGGAGAGAATACTCGCTATGACTCAGTGTATTTCTGTATTAGTCGTTTGCCAGCTATGTGAAGAACGCGTTGTCCAAGGAGAGGACGTTGGCAGTTTTGTAAAAGCGTCTGATTACGATCGTTCAATACGCTTCAGTATCCATTGCTTTTGGATCGTTGGGCCTCTGGTGTCGAAATGAAGTTGACGAAAACTGAATTATTTGAGGGTGTTTCCTATTGGAAAGAGTGACGAACGAATCTTGTCACATTCCTGTGTTTTATAGCAGTCGTTTTTGCAGAACTTATGTTGTACACCCACTACCATAGGGTTAGGTGTATGGGAAATCGGAGAACCATTTTGTGTATTTATGGACTTACGAGGAAGGGGTAGTCTTCTTACCATGAAACTTTAAGTGGAGACCTTGGTAAGTCCTTAGAGCTTCGGGTGCTGCTCACGAATATGGAAATTGAAGCTGCATAGTGGCTTCCCTAAGAAAGTTGTAGGGGCTCAAAATTCGCTTCACAGTAGTGTCAATTGAAAATGCGAACTCGTCGCTTTCATATCAAGCGTCGACGTGGCGTAGTGGTAGCAGTCTCGCTTCACAAACGGATGATGCGGGTTCGCTCTGTGACATCATCGACGTTTTCGCAGTATTCTTTTACTTAGGGCTTCGAAACATTTTCTGAACATTTTCTGAGATTTGTCTGAGAGACCGCATTTTTTCCGCTTTCATTTTCACTTGTCGAACATATTCAGGGAAGAGTGGTTTTGCACTTTAGTCGAGACTCTGTTTTATTTTAAACTTCTGAAAACAATCATTGGAAAGGTGCCAGGAATACCAAGGTGTTCACTGGGCTCAACACTGATAGAGAACCTTCAAGAATGTAAGCAGCACAAATGTTAATCAGAAACTGCACACCTTATATATGTTGCTTCTTTGAAATGAAAGACAAAACAGGCATTTGCCTCAAGATTGGACAAATACTCGCTAGAAATGATACAGTAGACCTGATTACCATCAGTATACCCAGCTTTGCACTGGAAGCTTTTCAAAAAATTGGAAGAAACGAAGTGCACAGATCATCAGATACGCCTGTAATAAAACTCCAAGTATATTTTCTCTACGTGTCAAACTCCGTTCATTCCATCGTGGCGCTTTTTTCTAAACCCTTCGTGACTTTCTTCATAGGAACGGAGAAAAAGACGCCAATGGGTTAATCGTTGACGTAGCGCAGGCCAGACTATTGTAGACTTCCAATTTGCATCCTGTAATGAAGTGTTCGTGAAAAATACCGCTTTACATATGCAATGATGATTTGTCTTACAAACTTTCGGGCACAGCTTGTTGTATGACGTCTGTGTCACGACAGGACGAACAATAAGGTGTATCTAATGGTGAGCATCACTACTTTCAAAAAGGCAATTCTTAATCAGGTCGACTATGGTCATAACGTGTGTTGTGTACGTTCTGACGACTAGATTTGGAATTTTGAACTTTTTTTCATATCTTTTGAGATGTTTTTGGTACAAAGCTGGGTATGTTGATGGGAATCAAGGCTAATTTGTCTCCCCTGGCGAGTATCTGTTTAATTTTAAGACATATTGTTTTGTTTTGTCTCCCATTTTTGAGAAGCAGCATGTATAGAGGTGCAGCTTTTGAACAACATTTGTGCTGTTTACATTTTTGAATGTTTTCCGTCAATGTACAGTCCTACAAGCATGTTATTCATCTCTAGCGCCTCTCCAATAAATGCTTTTAGAAATTAAAAAAACAGAGTCATACGAATCCTGACAAAATAACGTGCAGTACCATCCTTTCGTAAACGGATGCGACAAGCGCAAAGGGAAGCAGAAGGCGTTCAATTATTTAAATATCAGAAAATGTTTTGAAACCCTCGAATGAATTGGGGTGAAGAGCAAACTTGCATCATCCGCTTGTGGAGCGAGTCTACTATTACTACGCTACGTCGACGCTTGATATTGAAGCGACGATTTTGCGTTTCCAATTGACACTACTGTGAAGCGGAGTCCGAGTCCCTATAACTTTTTCAGACTAGCCATTTGCACTTTTAATATCTATTCAGTAAACAGCATTCAAAACTCTACCGACTTATCTAGGTCTACATTCGAAGTTCCACGATTAGGTAAGCTACCCCTCCTTTGTTAGTTTTTTTAGTAAATGACTTTCGAAGCTC